TCAGTGCATTGAGAAGAGGAGTTGGGAGGTCATGTTGCAGCAATACAAGACATTGGTTAGGCCACTAGTGGAAAACTGTGTTCAGTTCTGATCTCTTTGCTATAGGAAGGATGTTGTTAAACTTGAAAGTGTTCAGAAAAGATTTACAAGGATGTTGCCAGATTGGAGGGTTTGAGCTAAGGGGAGAGGCTGAATAGGCTGGGGCTATTTTCTCTGGAATGTCAGAGGCTGAAGAATGACCTTATAGAGGTTTAAAAAATCATGAGGGGCACAGATAAGGTGAATAGACAAGGTCATTTCCCCAAGGTGAGGGAGTCGAAAACTAGAAGTCACTGGTTTGAAGTGAGAGGGGAAAGATTTGAAAGGAACCTAAGGGGCAACTTTTCATGCAGAAGGTGGTGTGTGTATGGAATGAACTGCCAGAGGGAGTGGAGGAGGCTGGTACAATTACAACATTTAAAAAGCATCTGGGTGGATACATGAATAGGAAGGGTTTGGAGGGATATGGGCCAAATGCTGGCAAATGGGACTAGATTAATTTGGGATATCTAGTCAGCATGGATGAGTTGGGCCAAAGGGTTTGTTTCCATGCTGAACATCTCTATGACTATGTTGTGAGGTTTAGAGGGGAGCTAACAAGTGATTGTGTTCACAGGCATCTGCAGGCTTTATCCTTGTAGGTGGTAGATCATGGATTTGGAAGGTGCTATGAAAGGTGAGCTGCTGCTGCTATGATGCATCATTGGTGGAGGGACTGAATGTTGATGGTCTTGGATGAAGTGCCAAGCAAGCAGGCTGCTTTTTCTTAGACAGCGTTAAGCTTCTTGAGTGTTCTTGGAGCTGTACTTATCCAAGTGAAATTTGTTCCATCACTCTCCTGACTTGCATCTTAAAGATGGACAGGGTTTGGGGAGTCAAGTGGTGGTTACTCACCACAGAATTACTAATCTCTAATCTCTTGTAATCACTGGTCAATTACAAACCCCAGGATGTTGGTGGTGGTGGTTTCAGTGATAGTGATGTCATTTATTGGCAAAGGGTGTTAGTTTGAGTCTTTCTTGTGGGAGAAGGCCTGATAAGTAGCAAACAAAATTTGTGCCATACAAAGCCAAGCCCATGTCTGGGTGCTGTCTAGGTTTTACTGCATATGGACATGGACTGCTTCAGTATTTGAGTTATTGCAACTAATGCTGAAATTTGTGTAATCTTTGAACATCCGCATTCCCGAACATACGCTGGAGAGAAGGCCATTGATGAAGCAGCTGAAGATGTTTGGGCCAAAGAAACTTCCCAAATGGACTCTGGCAAAGATAGCCTAATGAATGGCCACCATCTACTATAATTATCTTCCATTGTTAAGTGGAGTGACTCTAATAAATGAAGAATCTCCCCTCATACATCATGGGATAGCCATCTAACCTTAATTGACAAAATATACAACAGGATAACACTTCCTGTAAAGTTTATTGAAAGTATAGAAAGCCAGTTGACTAAAGCAAATACATTTCAGAAACTATATGTTCTGATTCAAGGAATTACTCAGCAAATTATAGAAGTACAAAAGTTACATTCTAAATGATGCACATTAGGTTGTTCAGTATAGTGACAACATTCAATTTATGAGTTGGAAATCTCTTGGTCAAGAAAACTAATACATTTCATGCAAACAGGAAGATAAAGTTAAACCACATAATACTTATTCATTACATTTTGCTTTAATAGTCATCGTAGTTAACATCAGCACCAATGCGTATAGATTGGGAATAATAAGGGCCAGCTGGAGAATTACCATCGTAACGTTGATGAATGTAATACCGGACATGATCATCATCACCTGTGCCTTGATGCACACCCAGCCAGTATGCAGCGGCATCTTCAAATTGCTGTGGGATAATAGCAAAAAATAATTAATGCTTTACAGTTAATATTTCAATATCTGATCATTTTGCATTGATAAATGAAAGGAGAAATCACTGCAACTTGTTAAGCATTAAAACATAGAAGAAAAAGTTGAACATAGCAGTTCAGTTCAAAATGATGGAAGACCACATAACCCAGTGCCCATTCTTAATGGTATAAATAACATCTGCCTTCTCAGAGTTAACAGGCGAAGTCACCCCCAACATATGCTCCAATTCAAGTAACCCTGTTTCTCAAAGTTCTCTTAGGACTGTCAAGAACGGCTCTACCACCTGCACTTTATCACTTACTATACCATTACAAATCCTTATTGACTCGGTTTAAAATAATCTGTTCACAAGCCCCCAGTCACTTGTTACAGCTCATCTGGAAAAGTGCACGCATTCTCAAAACACCCTCTGCATCATCCCTTGGTCCTAGTGTTGCCACAAAAGTTAACGATTTAACTAAAAAAATCATAGTCCCCAGTCTGCCTGTCTAATGGAATTAAGTTAACAGAAAACACTGACCAGGTTCCTGTATTTAACAAGAACAATTGTGTTTTTTTTAAAATAAAGACAATTCTAATCACAAGTAAACAGCAATGAACTGGCAGCTCAAATTGAGCAGTGCCACCATATCAAACAGGCATGACAAAGCACAGCTATGGAAATAGACGTAAAGGTCTATAAAAGAATGATTGGGTCAGGGACCTGGTTCATTGCGAAGCTAGTCAGTATAAGATAACAATCGGGCAAATTAAAAGCTTGAACAAATTTAGAGTCATAGAGTCATTCTGCATGAAAACAGGTCCTTCGGCCCAACTCACAGGGGAGATGTCAGAGGTAGGTTCTTCACACAGGGAGTGGTGGGCGTGTGGAATGCGCTGTCGGCAGTGGTAGTCGAGTTAGATACTTTAGAGACTTTTAAGCGATGCTTGGATAGGCACATGGAGGATAGTAAAATGTAGGGTATGCAGAGTAGATTGATCTTAGTAGGATAATAGGTTGGCACAACATCGTGGGCCGAAGGGCCTGTACTGTGCTGTACTGTTCTATGTTCTATGTTCTACGTTCTATGTTCTATATTCATCAATGCCTTCATAAACTGAACTAGTCCCATTTGCCTGCATTTGGCTCATATCCCTCAAAACCTTTCCTAAGCAAGTACTCGTCCAAATACATTTTTCAGGGGCATCAATAGATGATTTAATTGATAATCTCCATTGCCTAGTGCAGAATTGTGATGATGACTTCAAGTCTGAATTCATAAGACACAGGATTGACGTAGGAATTGCTAATGAGTCTTTGTCAGATTTATTAAGGCTCAAAGATGATCTGACTCTAGAGAACACCATTCAGATAGCAAGTGAAACAGAAGTCCAGAAACATCTCAGATCAATGTTGAGAAGAGGTACAAAAACCACATGTGAGAAACCAGTAGAGTGAGTAACACAGGCAACAAACACTACATATCTCTGTTAGCACTTCATCAATGACTTTCACTCCATCATAAGGTCAGAAGTGGGGATGTTTGCTGATAATTGCACAATGTTCAGCACCATTCGTGACTCCTCAGATACTGAAGCAGTCTGTGTTCAAACGCAACATGATCTGGACAATATCCAGGTTTGGGCTGACAAGTGGCAAGTGACATTCGCGCCACATAAATGCCAAGCTATGACTATCACCAATAAGAGACAATCTAACCACCATCCCTTGACATTCAACGGTGTTACCATCACTGAATCCCCCACTATCAACATCCTGGGGGTTATCATTGATCATAAACTCAACTGGACTCACCACATAAACACAGTGGCTACAAGAGCAGGCCAGAAGCTAGGAATACTGCAGCGAGCAACTCACCTCCTGACTCCTCAAAGCCTGTCCACCATCTACAAGGCACAAGTCAGGAGTGTGATGGAATACTCCCCATTTGCCTGGATGAGTGCAGCTCCAACAACACTCAAGAAGCTTGACACCATCCAGGATAAAGCAGCCCGCTTGATTGGCACTATGTCCACAAACATTCACTCCCTCCACCACAGATGTTCAGTAGCAGCAGTGTGTAATATCTACAAGATGCACTACAGAAATTCACCAAAGATCCTCAAACAGAACCTTCCAAACCCACGGCCACTTCCATCCAGAAGGACAAGGCCAGCAGATATATGGGAACACCACCACCTCCAAGTTCCCCTCCAAGCCACTCACCATCCTGACTTGGAAATATATCACCGTTCCTTCACTGTCACTGGTTCAAAATCCTGGAATTCCCTCCCTAATGGCATTGTGGGTCAACCCACAGCAGGAGGACTGCAGCAGTTCAAGAAGGCAGCTCACCACCACCTTCTCAAGGGCAACTAGGGATGAGCAAGAAATGCTGGCCAGCCAGTGACGCCCACATCCCACAAATGCATAGAAAAAAAAACCTCACAGGTGCAGATAGTACCCAGCTATTAAATGTGAATGCTTCACCTGTCATTTAGTAAGTCTCTCTCTCTCTCTCTATCTCACACACACACACACATTAATAGGGTAGAGCAGTCTATAACAAAAACCAAAACATTTCCTAGGGGGAATAGATAATCCAGACCTTCAATATCAAGTTATCAAAACATGTCAATATTTATCTCAAATTTCAAGTTAGACATTGGGCGAGTGTCAGTACGTTATCAGATAATGAGCCATGGTTAAGAACATACTATCTACATCAGTGAAACATAGTTCAGGAGGCTCATCGCTTAAGAATGAAGGTTTGTTACCAGCAAATTTCTGATATGGGGATGCCAAATAGTACAAAACCTATTTGTACTTCACAATAAAGAATTTCACTCAAGTGGGAAAACATGTCGTCACCTTAATCTTGTTCAAATGGTACAAGAGCTCTTAAACTATAAAAAGTCAAAGGAGCAGCTGGTCAAGCAGGAGCGGGTTGAAGGACAGACAGTAAGAAGATAGCACAGCTCTCCTTATATTCATGATGGAGCCCAAATGATCTCCTGAAATCAGTTAGGTTGGCATAGAAAATTTGTTTCATATCATCAATGAGATGAGAATCTGTGCCTCCATAAAATTGGTATAAATGTTTTCATTTATGCTAACATTGTTAGAGAGATCCCAGACTGCAAGAGCCTCAGCTGAGCCAGCCAGGTTTGAGAGGTTAAAAAGCAAGAAGTGAGGTAGCAACATATCCCACCTCAGCCATTGACAAATGTATAACTTACGTAAATTCAGAATACTACACAGCTCAGTGAAAAAATACCTATGGCGGATTTAAGTCTGATGTTAGATGCGGATGTGACTTGGAAGAGACCAGTTCAAGCAGAATATTTTACTTCCCTATCCTTCCAGGAAGAATCTTCAATAAATTTGACACAGATAATGCCAAACCAGCTGCAAACCTCACAAAGCAGAACAGAAGAAGAAATGAATTTATTGTTCTCACCAGGTCACAGACTGTCAGGAAGAGGATCAAAATCAATGCAAGAATATAAGAAACAGGAGCAGGAGTAGGCTATTTGGCTTCTCAAACCTGTCCTGCTATTCAACAAGACCATGGTCTATGGGCCCCAGGTCTCAACACTCTTTATTACGAACTCATCATAGCTGTCAGCTCTCTAATATTTCAAAAATCTAGTTCCCTCCTTCTAAATGCTTCCAGCGATCTCAGCCTCCACCACCCTCTAGGGTAGAGAATTCCAAACATTAACTACCTTCTGGGAGAAGAAGATTCTTCTCATCACAAGTGTCCCCTTATTCTGTAACTATTTTCCCTTGTTCAAGATGCCCCCATCAGTGATAACATTGGTTCCACATCTATCATGTCAATCTTGTATGTTTCTATAAGATCCTTCATTTCTTATTCTTCTAAACGCTAATGGCTTAAGGTCAGAAGTCACACAACACGTGGTTAAAGTCCTACAGGTTTTTTTGAAATCACAAGCTTTTGAAGCGCTGCCCCTTCGTCAATTCACCTGACTACCTGGTGTCATGTGATTTCTGACCTTGTCCACCCCAGTCCAACACCGGCACTTCCACATAATGAATTAAGGACTAACCTGTTCAGCTGTTCTTGAAAGGGTGGAGGGAGGAGGATATTTTGAATCAGTAAAACAATGTTTTATGCAGATTAATGGTTGTCAAACTCAATTTACATCATTTTCTCGAACAATTGAGAAACATACTCACAGCTTCAGAATATCCCATGTTCACAAACTGCTGATACCACTGCTGAACATCATCACGAGATCTATCCCATATGTAACGTTTTGAACGCTTCAAACTGTTCAAGAATGCTTTAGCCTTGGACTCAGGAACTGAAACAGTCAATTTCTTATCTGCTAAAGATGTTAAAAATAATGAACATGTTTTTCAGCCAAGCAAGAACTTGTATTTATATAGCACTTAAATCACTGAAAATTACTTTTAAGTGATGCAACTTATGTACTAGTTCAGTACATGTTACTCTACTTAAATGTCATATAGGTAACTTGTCAATGGATGGAATACATTGACTGGCTGAGATAGTAGGAACTGCAGATGCTGGAGAATCTGAGATAACCCTTCAGAAAGGGTCGAGGCCCAAAACATCAGCCTTCCTGCTCCTCTGACGCTGCTTGGCCTGCTGTGTTCATCCAGCTCTACACCTACGTTGACTGGCATGTGGTTTTTGTACTTAACTTTTGATTTGAGTGTATGAAACATGTAGGAATAGCCCATTTCAGGTCAAGTTCATTTTTAATGGAATAAAAATCCCTGGTGGTCTAATGGTTAGGATTTGGTTCTTTCAGCACTGCGGCCATCATGTTATTCCAGTCATTTACTTTGTCTCTAGCACTACCTTATTTTTAATTTTTTGTAATTCTCTCTCTGCCTCATTTAATCAGATTATAGGTCATCCCTTCACTGGTTATTCAGCTGCAAACACTTTAGTAACCGTCTAACACTCATGGTCACCTGCAGAGATTTATCCTGTAACACTTCACCCATACCAGTTGTATGATCTTTTGATCTCTCTGCCCTTGATCTCTCTGCCTATAAACTCTGTGCCTGTGTGCCCTGCTCTCTCACTGCACCTGATGAAGGGGTTGTGCTCCAAAAGCTTGTGATTTCAAATAAAGCTGTTGGACTATAACCTGATGCCGTGTGGCTCCTGACTTTGTCCATCCCAGTCCAACATCGGCACCTCCACATCACGTGGATCATGGTCAAGAGGGCCACCCAGTAAAAGTATCCCTGCTCCATATTGGAGGAAGATAGAGCAGATGCCTCAGAGGAAGCACCAGAATGGCCACCGCAGGTCTGCAACAACAGCCACAGTAATGTGAGCACCTTAGCAGCACCCAGGGACAAGTTGGCAGCTGCCATGGACAGCAAAGTCCAGCCAACTCGGAGTCTGCAGACATGAGCATCCTCCATTGCCTAGATATTGGTCCCCAGTACCAACATTATAGTGACAGGGGGACAATGCACCTTAACCTCGCACTAGGTGCCCGCTCCTCTTAAGGAGGTAGGACAATGCTAGTAGGCATTCAGCCAGAGAAGGAAATAACTACAAACCCAACAGATGTCTCCTCTCAACACAATTGCAGAGGTAGCTGGTCTATTCCAGGTTCATAAATGTTGCTATTCCATCACAGGCAACAGTGGAGTTCAGCAATTAACCTGCAGGACATGGTCAGGAGAGGTTGGGCCAAGGAATTGGTCTGTACACAGTCAGCTATTGGCAATGCAGAGCTTCAAGTGTGTTTCAACTTCACTGAATGGGGGTGGGTGTACTGGTGTTGCCCTTCTCAAGGGCCTCACATCCCCAGGCCCCTCCCACACACTTAGCCCCTCCTCTCTGGGTGTGTTTGCAGCCATTTCTATTTCCATTGCACACTTGGGAATTAGAGGATGATGGAAGGCAACAGCAGCCGTTGCTCAAACTGTGTGTTACAGGCTGTACCTCAGGTGAATCAACATCCCCTGATAGCTCTCCCCATCAACCCATTGGCATTGCACCGCCACAAGTCCCCATCCAACTTGTGTATTGGAGTTTGCATTCTGGCCACCTTCTGTCCTCTAACCCTGGGCACACAAGGTGATTACACCAAGTCTTGTCGTTCAAAATCATCTGCCAGAAGGCACAGTTTGGCTCATCAAAGAAAAAAAAGAATCTAAATATATCATTTTGATTGTATTGTGATAATATTTCTTTCTGATTTTAAGGGTTCTTTTTGTCCTTCTTCCTTAGGCTCTTGAGTTCTATGGGCTATCATCTCTGGCCAAAATATACATAAATTTGCATCCTCTAGGTTTTTTTTAAAGTAGTTTGCCTCTTGAAGATCTAAAATCATGCAGCAGCACCTAACTTCCTGTTCACCAGCTGACGACACAATCGCAAGTGAATTTTAGGTCTATTTCCAGGCCCACGTAATGATGACGTAGTTAACTTCAGGAATATCTGAACTACCTTACATATTCCTCACAAGCTCAGACAGTGATTAGGACATTCATTCTCACAGCTCCTCAACAACAATTTCAATTGTCCCATCCGAGAATTGGATTGTTCTTTGTCTTCATACTTGTGAGCAAAAACCCAGAAGATTTTCCTTACCACTTCTCTTCTCGATCATCTTGCGCAATTTGTTTCCACTCAACCCATCTGAAAAAGTAAACATATTTAAGACACAAATAATGTAACAAGATTCAAAAGGATCAATGGGGCGGATGATTCATTACTAAACTTGGGTCCGTTAAGGGTCACATGATAGTGATAAATAGGAACAAGCACTTTTCAAATTCAAACATCCAATTGATATACCCAGGAGCTTTCATGGATTGAAATTATATTTTAAAAAACAACAAATATGGACCTAAAATGGCTACCCTAATCAGCTGACCATAAATTGAGACAACTGCAGTGGACACATGTGGAAAATAACAAAACTGTTTGCACTGAAATTGCCATTTTATTTAATTGAAGCCAGACAACTGAGTCAGCATCAAGAAACTGTCATCTCCTGTTTATATGTATATATATTCATATGTTAATTACACATATTCAGAAATGAAACCCTTGCCTACCAGTTAGCCAGCTTGGAAACACAATGTAGTCAGCTTGGAAACACAACATAGCCAGGCTTGGAGATATGCAAATCAACCACACTTTAGCAACTATTTCTGAGTAGCAAAATAGACAGAAAATGATGCATTTGTGACAAGAGCTGAAACTGTCTCTCTCCCTATTTGCTGCAGAGTTTCTGAGTTTCACACGTGGTGAGAAAACAAACTGGGAAAACAACTGGGACTGTAATACATCTACAAACTTCAACATGCCGTGGATACCTAGTCAGCAATTAAACACTTGTGATCTAAGGTAAAAAAAAAACCTTAAGAATGCTAAGAAATTTTAAATTGCGTAGTCTTTATCCTTCCTGTCTTTACTAGACATTCTCTCCTTTTTAAAGTGTGTCTGTATTTAATTATCAGAGTTAGGAGGTAACAAAATACTTTTCTCTTTCATTCAAGAAACACCAAAGCAAAATGTTTCTCCTAGCAAGGAAGTTAAGATTGAGAAAAAAGCAAGCCAGCCCAGGAAGTTCTCAGAATCCTTTCTTGTAAAGTACTTCACAGTTTAGAAATTATTCAGTTAGGATAATTGCTTTAGGCTTTTATGACTTTGAGAAAGTGTTGTAAACTTCCCAAGAAAATGTTGGCCAACACAGGAAAGGGTAGACAGTATCAGTAACTCATCCTTAAGCAAGAAAGGACATCAATACCAAACAAGATCCTTAATCAAATTAAGTCCCAGGCACTAAAGACATCAATCGGGCAAGAAATGAGCTGGGGTTGGAAGTGATGGCTTATTAGTATTATCGCTGGACTGTTAATTCAGAAACACAGATAATGTTCTGGGAATCAGGGTTTGAATCTCACCATGGTGGATGGTGGAATTTGAATTCAATAAAAAAAATCTGGAATTAAGTCTAATGATGACCATGAATCCATTGTTGATTGTCAGGAAAATGCCATCTGGTTCACTAATGTCCTTTAGGGAAGGAAACTGCCATCCTTACCTGGTCTGGCCTACATGTGACTCCAGACCCACAGTAATGTGGTTGACTCTGAACTGCCCACTGTGCAATTAGGGATGGGTAATAAATGCTGCCTAGCCAGCGATGCCTTCATCCCGTGAATAAGTAAAGGAAAAAACCTTAACGCTTTTCTTCTGCAATTAGAAGCCATGGATGTAAGCTGAGCAAAATATGACAAAACAATATGCTGTAGGTTGCACAGTGGCTCAGCAGTTAGCACTGCTGCCTCATGGCACCAGGGACCTGGGTTCAATTCCAACTTTGGTTGACCGTCTGTGTGGAAATTGCACATTCTCCCCGTTTCTGCTGGGCACTCCAGTTTCCTCCCACAGTCCAAAGGTGTGCAGGTTAGGTGGATCGGCTGTGGTAGAGGTGGGATTACAGGGTCTGGGTGGGATGCTCTTTGGAGTGTCAGTGCAGATTCAATGGGCCTAATGGCTTCTTTCTGCACTGTAGGGATTCCATGATAAAAGGCTTGCACAAAATAATCTTTATTTCTTTCCCTGTGACCAAATGACTCTCAAGTTTTAAATTATGTTAAAGCAATGCCATTGCAGAAGTATTGGTTAGTGGCACTAGTAAGTTGTATCAAGAAGTCTGAAAGTGTCTTTACATTTCTTTTTATGTGGTTTTGCAACATTAAAATAGAGATGGAGGTTAATAGTTCACAACATTTTAGATGGTAAAATAGCTTGTTGCCCAGGGATACAGGATCAGAACAATCCAAAATGTCAGTGAGAATGTGGGTGTGCTAAAGATTGGAGGCTGAAGTGTGAGGCTATTAAAATTTTTGGCAAAAGACCAGAACTGCGAGAAACCAAGCTCTGATGAAGAGTCATCTAGACTAGAAATGTAAGCTTGCTTTTTCTCCATGGATGCTGACTGACCTGTTGTGATCTCAAGCATTTTTTGTTTTCAGTTCAGATTCCAGCATCTGCAGTAATTTGCTCCTACTGGAAACTGAGTTTGGAATACACATGTTTGCTCTGAAGTTAAAGTAACAGTGAGCTTGTTTTAGATATTTTGGGGAGAGACACAAGCTGAAGAAAAGTAGCCTCAAAAGAACACGAAGAAAGTTGCCAAAAGGAAATTGGTTACAGCCGTGATACCTAAATGTGAGGTCTTCATGTGGAGGTAATGATGACTTGCTGAGGTTTGGTTGATGGTAAGGATATGGCTGGGGTAACACGATATTATGGATTTGATTTTCTTTTTCCTACAGTTTGCAATGAAGTCTTTCAAACCTTCTGTCCAGTATAATGTATTTATTGTTCTTGCCCTTGATTTAAAAAAATGTTTTATCCTTTTCATACCAAAAGTACCCTGGAAGCCTCTGGTGAATGTGGTCAGTAACATTCTTCCATGGTTCCAAAACTAATCAAAGTTAGATCTATCAAGATAGATTTCATTTTGAGATCCGACTTTCGGTATCAATAATCAGCTGGGTTCGTAACAATACCAGTAAAATAAATACTAAATAATGGTACAAATATGTTAACCCTCAAAATGATGAATTGAAAATACTCTATACAGTATTAACTTGAATTTAAGCTTGGTTGGCTTTTCTCCCCATTGTAGAGATATAAAAATATATTATGTAGAGCATAAATACATTCCAAACTCTTGAATCTATCCAGCACCAAACAAAACACAAAATATTCTACAAATTAAGTGCATGAAAAATTTGAAATTCCATGGAAACATCCTATTGAAATTCTTTTGCCTACCAGGGAATGTTAAAATCACCAGGAGCACAGAAGTAATCACAAGAGCAAGTCGGAAGAATTGAAGAGACATTGCTTCAAGATGAATGTTCACAACGGCTAAAAGAGAAGAGAATAATAATGAGACACAGCAATTACTGATCCAGTTAGCCTTGGTCTAGACAATTGTTCAAACAAAATCTGTGATAAATCTTAACTTAAAGTTCCACCACAACAGAAAATACTTTGCTATGCCTTATAAAAACATGGAAGATGCCCCACCATTCAAAGTACAATTGCTGTATCTATGCAACACAGCAGAATGCAATTAAAGAAATACACAATCATTTCAAAGACACATGTAGATTTTTGTTGATTTCTTTGGTATAGACATACAAATAAACAAAGATTAAAATTTTGTGGGACAAATTTCCATTGTTACACTGTTGGTGAATGATAACTGTATAATTACAAGGCAACAATGTCAGGTTTAACATGCAGCAAACGTTCATGGTAGTATTGTTACGATGGGGAATGGCCGAACCCTTCTGTTAATTAAACTAAAACACAAGCCCCGATCTGTTATGACAGGAATAGAGGTTCCCCTCTAATAATTACCCCCTGAACACCTACAGAACCTCGCCTTTACCCCCATAATCTATTAAAAGAGTGGTTAAAAGAAAGTAAATCTCTGATCTCCATTTTACCAGTAACAAGAAACAATTTATTTATTTAACCCAAAAACGAACAAATTAACAAAATTACCAACAAACTGACAATTCCCCCCACTGCTCCCTAACTGGCCTAAATTCTACTGGAATGCTGTTTAAATAAAGACAAGTCCCACTAATATAAAACCAATTAATAAGAAGCAATAAATTATAACTTAATCGCTCCAAGTTCGCACAGGCTGTCTTGCGGAATATTCTGTTGTCTCCAGTCTCTTCATAACTGCCTTTCTTCCATTAATTCTACTGTCAGGAACATTTTATCTCTATAATTTCTTCAATGAGGACGTTAGGCTAAAATACCATGGTACCTTTGATGAATCAGATGGGCTTTCTCTGAGGGCTGAATGGTGCTAACTCTGGTTGTTGTCTCTCTCTTTCAGATGACAGTTGGTTCTCACTGATTTTCCAACTGTCCTCGTCTTATACACCCGTAATGACATAATCAAATTCCTATAATATGATCGGTTTCAACACCATCAGTTTTTAAATTCAATTGGCTTTGAATCGCTGTTAGGTTTTAAATTAATTGGCCAAATTCAAACTCGTTGTTATAATATCAAAACAAGACTGCTGGAAGCTCAGCAGATCTGGCAGCATCTGTGGAGAAAAAATCAGAGTTAACTTCACAGATGCTGCCAGACCCTGCTGAGCTTTTAGCAACTTCTGTTTTTGTTCCAGATTCACAGCATGCGCAGTTCTTTCGGTTTTTATCAAAACAAGACTGCTGTTATGCCTGTCAGCTGTAAGGAATTTTTGATACACTTGTTTCACTTTCTTGAGGCTCTCTGTACTGGCAACTTCAGCTGCTGCTCACGGACATACATATAAAAAAGTTTCTCAGTACAGACAAAGCACAAATCTCTTAAGGGATCCATACATTTTAGCTTCCAGCCTTCCACTTCACAATTACTTTACCCAACTTTGTAACATCTTCCCCCTTAAAAATAGAACTATCATTATGAAAAGATGGTTTCATTTTTATTTTTAAATCTTAACACCATTACCATGAAATATATCAATCAGTACTCTAAAGTTATACCTTTTATACTAATTCTAAATATATATAACATTGAACCATACTGGTTCTATCTTATCTCGACATTTTCTTTAAACCCGCGATAACATATCTGCAACAGCATTTTCCGTTCCGCAACATGTACAATTTGTAAGTTAAATGCTTGTAACATAAGACTCCATCAAAATAGTCTCATATTTTTGTCCTTAAATTTTTCCAAAAAAATGAGAGGGTTGTGGTCTGTATACACAACTGTCTCTGAAATATTGTTCCTAACATAAATCTTAAAATGTTATAAGGCCAGTACCAAACTCAATAATTATTTTTCAACAGTGAAGTATTTTCTCTAATGAATATTGAGTTTCTTTGAAAAATATCCAATTGCCTTTTCAATTCCACCATTAACCTCCTGCATCAACATGGCTCCAACTCTTATATCACTGGCATCAATAGCGGCTTTAAATGGTTTTGAGAAATTTGTAGCTAAAACTGGTGCGTTGGTTAATACGGGCTTTAAATTCTCAAATGCCTCCTGGCACTGTTCAGTCCACCGAAATTTTATGTCCTTCTTTAGCAAATCCGTCAGCATTGCCACCACTAAAGGTCGGCACAAACTTCCAGTAGAATCTGTTCAGTCCCAAAAATTGCAGCACTTCCTTCTTCGAGGATGGTCTTGGAAATTCCTCAATGGCCTTTGTTTATGTTCCTTGGGGTTATCCTTCCTATGTCTGATGTTATATCCCAAGAACACCATTCCTGCCTTCACAAATTCAGTCTTTGCTAAATTTATAACCAGTTTTGCCTCCCGTAGTCTTTCAAAGAGTTCTGCCAAATGCACCATGTGATTTTTTCCATCAATGGCTGAAGATCACAATGTCATCTATATAGACAGTACAATTATTCAATCCTGCCACATCTCTGTTCATAAGTCTTTGAAATGTGGCGGGTGTGTTCTCCTACCAAAGGTCCAGATTTGTATTGATACAGCCCATTTGGTGTCACAAATGCAGAAACTTATTTTGCTTTCGCGGACAAAGGTTCTTGCCAGTAACCACGGAGTAAGTCCGACTTGGTGATATAAGTAGCTTGTCCAAATTTTTCCACACAGTCCTCCAGCCTTGGAATTGGGTACGAGTCTGATTTACTTACAGTGTTGACCTTCTGATAACCCACACAGAATCATTGAGCACCATCAGGCTTCAGAACCAACATGATCGGCAAACTCCATTCACTTTGACTTGGCTCAATGATGGCTTCTTGCAGCATTGCTTCCACCTCCTTCTGTATCTGTGTGGCTTTAAGAGGATTACGCCTGTGGGCATGTTGTTTTATTGGAACAGCATTCCCTACTTCAACCTCATGCAAAACAGTACCAGTCCTCCCCATTCTATTCCCACAGATGTCCTGATATTTCTGCAACAAGCCTTTCAATTCAGCCCTCTATTCCTGAGACAGATAGCTCACTATCCTATCCCATTCTCTAAGAACATCCTCATTATTTAACTTACTTTGATGAACATCAAAATCAAATGATTCAGATTCTGATTCCTCACTCTGAGGGGCAGTAACTAATAAGTATTTCTCCGGTTCCCTTTCCAAAGGCTCTAGTTTTATTACTTCCTGTGGCTTTCCTACTATTTGACAAGTACGTCAGGTACAGCAAAATTCAACCACATCCTTATGCTATCCAGGCCAATAGAAGTGCTTTTGTACTTTAGCCTGAGTCTTCCTCATTCCTAAATGACCACCTACCCATAATCCATCCTGTCTGTATGTTACCGGCAACACAATCAAATTTCGATTTATGTACTAATTCATATTCATCCGCCATCTCTGCAGCTCTTCTTACTTTGGTAACTTACTGTTCCTCAATATAAGTTCTTATCATCTCTGGAAGTGAGCTTTTAAACCCCTCCAGCAGAACAATCTCTCTAAGATCCTCCTATGTCTTTTCTATCTTTAATGCTCTCACCCATCTATCAAAGTTGCCCTGTTTAATTCTTTGGAACTCGACATAACTCTGACCTGGTTCCTTCTTTATATTTCTGAATCATTGTCTATATGCTTCTGGTACAATTCGTAGGCACTCAAAATAGCCTGTTTAACCTCTTCATATTCTCCTGACATCTCCTCTGACAGCGCTGCAAACACTTCACTAGTCCCGCCTACCAACTTAGTCTGAATTAATGTTACCCACATATCCTCTGGCCAATTCATCTGCCTAGCCAGTTTCTCAAATGAAATGAAAAAGGCTTCTATATCTTTTCCATTGAATTTTGGAAATGCTGTAACATATTTGTATATATCCCTACTAGATCTTTGGCTACGATAGTTTTGCACATCACCACTCTCGACCTCACTAAACCTATCTTTTACCTTCATTGCCATCGTCTTAAATTGACTTTTCTGTTCAATTTGCAACTTCTGAAGTTTAAAGTCTCTCTTTTTCTCCCTTTCTTCTCTTTCCCTCTCCTCTCTCTCTTTCCCTCTTTTACCCTCTTTTCCCTTTCGCTCAGCCAAGAAACTTCTCTCCCTTTCTTTATCTTCTAACATGGCTTTTCTTTCCCTTTCTTCAGCTTGTAACCGTAATTCAAACTCTCTCGCCTTCCTTTCATTCTCTAACTTCAGTTGTCTCATTTGCAATCTGAGTTTTTCTAACTCCACTGCACTTGCCTGTTTCTCTGGTATACCTAAGTGCTTGACCAACTCCATTACAATTTCAGCTTTCTTTTTATCCAGAATAAAAATATCCAAAATAAAATTTTAATCTGTTTGCTAATTCTAATAGTATAACCTTCCTCTGTTTTTCTAAAATTTCTTGACAAATTTAGGAAGCATCTTCAAACCCCAGAACCTCTTTAGCAATGCTAAAAGCCATTTCCCTCACTTTTGACTTAACCCACTACAAGCAACCAAAATTAAACTGATTTTTTTCCTCACCTAAGTTTTATTTAAAGATTCACGACAATAATCCTCAAGTCTGTTTAAATCTGTTTGAATCCATTCAGATCCCAGACTCAAACCATCAGATTCTGAACTTGAGCCCCCAATTGGAATGGCTGAACCCCTCTGATAATTAAACTAAAACACAAGCCCCAATCTGTTATGACAAGAGTAGGAGTTCCCCTGTAATGATTACCCTCTAGAAACCCAGAGAACCTTGCCTTTCCCCTCGTAATCTATTAAAAGAGTGGTTTAAAGAAAGAAAATCCCTGATCTCCATTTTACAAATAACAAGAAACAATTTATTTATTTAACTCAACAATGAACAAATTAACAAAATTACCAACAAACTGACAATTCCCCCCGACTACTAATTACTCCCTATCCCAAGGTAAAAGGATACAGTCACCATAGCCCTACATTCTCATGAA